GATTGATTTTACTTGTCTGTTATCATAGCATGCTCCTGACCACCTTTGTCCTTTTTAACGTGATAATTTAACTTCAAATTGATAATCAAGTTGTTTTTACAACCTCTCATCTTTAGTTGACATATTAACATTAACAACTTCATCTAAACCTCACCTTCTTACACAATCCATGGCCACACAGGTTTGTCCTTAGGACGACCATAAGACATGCCTTGTGTGTGTGTATGTGTGTGTATATATATATATATATATATATATATAATTATTAATTATAATTGGATTGTAACTTTATTATGGAACGGAGTGTATGTTTTGTTTGAATAAGGTCCAACCAAAACATAATTGCACAGTCTACTAAATAAGAATACACTGATACTTCGGAAGTTGAAATCGAATATGATTAGATGAACTAAGTCATTGAAAAACTAGGTTGAGTCCTTCCATCCAGGGATAACCTAGAAATATTTTATGACTTTAAGAGTATACTTAATCAAGCTAAGAGACTCTATGTCACATCAGAACACCAATCATATTCTCCAAGATATTTAACTCTACTTGGGTAAAGTCAAATATGAAGATGATAGTATTCTTGAAATTCACACAATTTAAATTTTGTCAGACCCATTAAAAGAGTCTTTCTTGTAAGTTAAGTATGAATGGTCACACTTCACCTATAAGACTTCATTATTCTAAAATGAGATTTTGATTTGAAGTTAGTACTTGGATATTGGAGCATTAAGGCAACAACTATTATATGGTTTTGATATATTGGGATATTATCATCACATGAATACTTGTTGTGTTCTATATTAACATGTTTAATCCATGAATAATATCATTATTCTAAAAGTTCATAGTCGGTTATAAATGTGGGAGCAATTATGAATTAAGACTAATATGAATCGGATTGATTGACTCTCACCAGATGAAAGTAGGCAAGTGGTTGTAACCAAAATTCATAGGTACTTGTCAGAGAAATCATACTAAACATAACCACATCAAGGTCACCTTATAGATCACTTTTATGAGTGATATTTAATTAAAAGTTACTATTTGTGTACCCTTACACCTGAGATATATAGTGGGACTTAAGTGTAGGGAGTGTTATGATTTGATATGGTTAAATGTTGTTCCTTAAACGGTCATTTATAAAAATAATTTACAAGTATGGTGTGAAGTATACAAGAGGCTTATGTACTCAAAAGGATAACTGATAAACTTACCTTATACAACAATTAGAGCTTTGAGCTTCTGGGAATTGGATGTTGATGAATGACAATCTTCGTTGTGTGTTACCGGGGGCAGTGAAATGTTGCTAGATGTTCAACACTGTCTATATCAATCTATCATAAGTTTTATGCAAGTGGGAGATAAAAATATCTTATATGCCAAAGAGTCATTATAGAATGATATTGCAAATGACATATGATCATATAGGGTCACACCTTATAGCAAGTTACTACTAATTGATTTTTTATTAGATTAATTTTGATTATTAGTAAATATAAACACTTGTATTTAATTCTATAAACATTATTTTATGAAAATAATATTTTATCACGCATTGTGAATTATTGTTTCTAGGAAATAATAATAAAAGAAAACAAAACTAGCTTAATATCATATGGTATGAATATTAATATTATGCATAACATTTTGGTCACTTTGAGTAACCATTAAGTTTTCATCCAACTAGCTAGTTATGGATAAAGTAATGGGCAATTGAAACCTTGTCTCATTGACCACAAAAAGTTAGCTTCCTCATGACTGTGATACGTTAATTTGAATTGTTTATTACTTCACCCATGCATGTAAGAAAGGATTTCACCTTTATGCTTTATTGTATTGACATTGTACATGCTTGGATACGCAAAAGAAAGGGGATTGAAAGCATGATGAGCTAGTTGTTTCACTTACTTCTTCTCTTCTTCTTTTCTTCCCAGTTCCCGAGAACAAGAGGTTGTTTTTCCTTTTCCAAGTTTTATTTTTTTGGTGCATGATCTTGGTTGATTGAGTTGCTTCTTCTTTAAGCATATTTTAGTATATGTATTAAAGGATTAAGAACAACTTAATACAAGTGAAGAATAACAGGTTTTAGTAGGGTTTTTTTGTGGGTACATTATATAAGACTTTTTCTTGAGTTATAATGTCATCTTCATCAACTTTATAATTGACAAAAGGAACCAAAACCATAAAATGTTGAAAACTTCTTCTTTCATTTGGTTATGTTTTAATCTTTCTAATCTTTTAAAAATGATCCTTGGTGGGTTAACATGATTTAGCTTATTCAAATTATAAAATGCTTCTGTTGCTAATTATGTTGAATTTGACACTATAATTAGACTATTTTTGAATAAAAACCAAACACTTTACAATCAATTCCTTCATGTATTGTTTTGCAATCCAATATGGGTTCACAACTAACCCTAAGTTATAACTTCTAATACATATGTTGCCCCTATAATCTTCTTTATTTGGAAATATTTTTGACTTTTATCTATAAGGCATGTGGACCAAATACACAATTATTCTCCTCTTCTTATTCTTCATACTTAACTTGTAGCCTTTGAATTACAGATCTTGAAAATTTGAGATGATACTTATTTGTCACAACAATTTTTTTTCAAAACACACTTTAGTTATTTAGGGCTCTCACATGTTTCTCTTTCAATTGGCTTCATGAGATTCCATTAAGTAATTGGATTAAGGATAATAAAGCCAATTCCAATTCTTTCTTCATCAGCATCAAGCATGTTTATTTCTCCATCTTTTATAATTAATGGACCAACTGGTTTTTCCTCATGCCTAATAATATGAATACATCAACAATATGAATACATGAAGTAACCAACTTCTTATCGTCACATATATTGATAAAATCATCTTTTTGAGTGTAGTCCATACCCCTACAAAGTGTAACATCTAATGACAATTGACTTTCATTGTCACTATTTCCATTATCAATATAATTACCCACATTACTTTATTGGAAAAAAACCATAAAAAACCTATTGTTATGTAAGTAAATTGTAAAACATAATGGAAAAACCTAGAGTACGTTCAAGTCTGAAACCATTATATTGGACCTTACGATTCAGAATAAAAAACACTTGATTATGACGCCGAGGAAACAAAAAATAGAAAACCTAGGTGGATAACTTACTTGGCTCAGATGTTTAGATTTGGTTCAAAACCTTGGTTCGATTGTAGATACTTGATCCAAAAACAACTAGTACAATTTTAGAAAGTTGATTGTTCAATGGGATGAGACCAACTTTCAAAACTCTACTCCTTACCAATTTTGAATAAACCCACTATATTGGATTTGGTCTAATTTTTTCAAATAACAGAGTCCAATTGCCATCATTAAAAGAATCATCTCATCAGTTTTACATGCTAAACCGACAATAATATGTACGAATGATCAAGATGGAAATTTTGTATAACAAATTATTGAGTTTTATCTTAAAAAAGTAAAAGATGTTATAACAGAATTTTGTCCTTATTTTATTATAAAAAATATAATTATTTGATTTTTTTCCATAATCTTTAATTCAAATACATTTCTTGGTATATCTTTACTATTATATAAAACATTTTAGACATTTCATGACATTTAAGAGGTACCATACTTACTACATCATGTACAATCAATGTATGTTTACCCTTTAATACACATATTACATTTCCATTTTAGAAATTAATCACATTAAACATTAATGATTCATAAATTAAATCAAAACATACTCTTCCATCAACTAAATAACTATTCTTCTTTATTCTCCAAATCACGCACTGTTATCTCCGTCATTCCCCCATTAAAACATAAATTAAATCAAACAATACCATCAATTTAATGATCTCCATTTTATTATAATCTTTTTTTTAAAGAAAACGAAGCATTTTCAAATCAATAATTGGTATCAAACCTATAAATAGGAATGAATATTTGGACCGGGGAACTGACCTGAACCTGTATTGGAACTGGAACTGGTACCGGAACGGAACCCGATGGAATCAGTCTGGCCGATACCGGGACGATATTCTTGTGGATTTTTGGAACCAGGAACCGGAACTAGTAGAACTGGCAAAAACCAGAACTGTATGTTGCTATTTCTCGATGACTGGTTCCAACATTGAAGATACGACAAGAACCAGTAGGAACCGGGAACCTGTAGAACCAATGGTCCGGTTCGGTTCTTAATTTCGGCCGACTTTGGTTCCCGGGTCAGGTCCGGTTCCAGTCAGTTCCAGCCGTGTCGGTTCCTTTGCTCATCCCTACCTATAACCATTGTATAATGGTGTTTGTATAATTAAGAGGTTGCAAATCTTAATGCGGGTGAGATACGTTATTAGTGGTTGTCATCATAACATAAAATTTTCCGAAGAGGCAATCATAAAAAATTGAAAAACACATGATAAAAAAAATAATAAAAGTAGAATACTATAATAAAGAAATAAACGTAGGTCTGATAATCGTATCGTGTTCGGGTTGACGTGTCGCGGGTTGGTGGGCAACCCAAACACGATCCATTTAAATACACAGGTTACAGGTTGGCGGGTTTGGAACATCAACTCATATATGACTAGCCAATCCATTTATTTATATGACTTCACAGTTTGACGGGTTTGTGAGTCAGATTTGGATTCATGGGTCAGATTCCATTAATAAAATTGACAATTAAACATGAATAAATTCTTGATGGTCCATACAAACATATCCAAATTAATTTTTAAATTTCTAAGTTTTAACCATTTTTCCAAACATTAATCAAATTAAAATATGCACTTATGTTATTTCGCCATTTTGTTTTGTTTTTCTTAGAATTTACTTTAAATATTTAATTACTAATTATACTAATGTCCTGCAGTGGATGTTAACAAAATGAAATCAAATAAAGTGTTGTTGTATTTATGGTTATATATTGGTTGATGAGAGAGTGAGAGGGAGGGGGTTAGGGTGTCCTTACTGCCAGTCTCCCTTTTGCTCTCTCTCTCTCTCTCTCTCTCTCTCTCTCTCTCTTACACACACTTGTGTGTGTGAATTAGCTCAAAGGCTTCGGTTTTCTGAATTTTCATCCAATTATCGATTCTTTCACCTCACAAATCTTGACAGAAATTGGCTCCTTGTGCTGATCAATCCTGTTGTTCTTTGCATTTCCCAATGGCGTTTGTTCTTCTACTCTGTAAGTTTTAGTTTTCTTCCGTCATGTTTTTGAGATTCTTCTCCCAATTACAATTTTTTGCCTTCTTAATTACCTAATTCATGTTACTGCTTGTTTTAGATAAGGTTTATATGTTACGCGATGATTTCATTTTCGATGTTTCGACTTCTGTTGTTAGTTTCATCCCTCCGAGGCTCTGATCTGTGGATTTTTGCGTATGCTTGATTTATGTTATATCTGTGAGTTCGTCACAAGATCTGATATAATTTGATAATTTTTCGTATACCTAAACCGAATTAATCCAAATGCAGCAAGTTTTACGTCCTCCGTGATGATTTTGTTCCAATTATCGACATTTTAAGCCTACAAATCAGAATCTGGGAGTAGACTTTGTCAAATCGAAACGGTTTTTAGAGATAATGTATGCTATTAGATGCTATTCACTTCAATTTTATGATTATCCGTTACTATATATGCTCGCGAAAATTTGTGTGTTGTGTGTTGTGTAAAACTTGACATGCGTATTCCGTTTCCCTTTTTGACCTTCACAAGCACCTCGTGTGTTCTTTTTTCTTCTTTATTTCTTTGAGTGTTTTTTGGGGCAATGTTCGTAGGGATTTTCCTTGTGAGTGCTAGAAGTAGTTGTTGATACTCAATCATACGTTCTCTCTGTGCTTTTTCTGGTTCTCTGAATTTTGTAGGCGAAAATGTCAAATGAGAATTCTGTGTATGAAATTGTTAGTAGTTGTAATCTCAAAGAAAAAAAAAAAGGTAAAAATAAAGACTTCGATCCTTGTGCATTTGTGATGAGGAAGATAGAAATAAACAATCTTTCTGAACAGCATTTAGTTATTATCATTGTGGTACCCTTCCATTTGACAGAGCCTTTTCAAATTGCTTTCACTTGGTACAATAGTACATCTGCACTGATTCATTTTTTTTGGCTCATGTACCTATCAAAACAGAATCCATTTATTTTTTTATCTTCTTTAGAAACTCACTCCTTCGGTTAACATAAGGAAATTCAGATATCCGCAGTGTTAATTTATGATATTAGAGTTGTCAATGTGTCATATGTTATGCTCTTCTCTTGATGCACATGGGTAGTTTTATAACACTCACCAACTATCCATCTTTGAATATAAGGTTAAAAACTTAAAATGTTCATACACAACAACAAAACTTTTCTTATTAATTGACATGTAACAAGTACATATAACTTTATAATAACTCATAACTTATAAGTTTCGATTCCATTCATGGGCTCCCACTCTCTTTGTGTGTGTATGCATTTGCCACAAAAAAGTCAAAGTCAACTCAAAGATGTTATTACTTATTATGAATAAACTATTTTTCCAGCTACTAAATGGAACAATAAATTAAGTATAGCTGGCTTGAAAGATATTGTTTTTAGTCATATATATATTTTTTCCATGTAGGATGTTATTTAGAAGCTGCACCATGAAATTTGTAACAAAGAAAGGACTGAAATCCATCGTGCCACTTCGTTTAAAAGGAAAATCCGCCACCCGTTTTTGTTTTTTCCCAAAAATAAAAGCCGAATATGGGCCCGGAAACACACCCGTTTATCTCAATGTCTATGACCTCACACCCATGAATGGCTATGCTTATTGGGCTGGTTTTGGCATCTTCCACTCTGGTGTAGAAGGTATGCTTTTCTGTATTAAGTCGTTCTTTCTGTATTAAGTCAGGTGTACTGAATAAGCCAATTATGATATAGTTCATGGTGTGGAATATGCATTTGGAGCTCATGACTATCCGACTAGTGGTGTGTTTGAGGTTGAGCCAAGACAATGCCCGGGGTTTAAATTTAGGAGGTCGATATTAATCGGGACTACATGTTTGAACCCTAGTGAGGTTCGAGAGTTCATGGAGCATCATGCTGCAAACTACAATGGTGACACGTATCATCTAATTGTCAAAAACTGCAACCATTTTTGCAATGATATTTGCTACAAGTTGACTGGAAAGCAAATCCCTAAATGGGTTAATCGACTCGCTAAATTGGGTATTATTTCTTTAAATCTTTACTTGAGATCATCTTGTTTTATCATTGGGTATTATTTCTTTAAATCTTTACAATAAAAAATGTATTGAATGCAAAATAACATGAAGTGTATTTGTACTCCGTTGCTTGGTTACTTATATCATGTGATAAGAGTAAATAAATAAATAAATAAATTTTAAAAAACTTATGGATGGAGGTTGATCCTATAATAGTAACATATTTTTATGTTAATATTCCTATTGTATGTATAACTGTAATGTCTTTTCGGTTTTGTCTTTTTTGGCTAGTGAATTTTCTTTTTTTTTATTTTACATCAAATATGATACTTCAATTTTTTGCTCAATTGATGATGTACCTTACACTTTTAAACAGAAATAGTAAAATGGTAAAATGACTTTACCCATTCAAATAGTTGATTAAACAGTTGTCTATGGACACAACATTTTATTTGAACATACATGTTTACACATTGGGTATTAGTTGTCATACAGCTTACCAAATTAAGTCATGTGTACAGGTTCAGCTTTTAGCTGTGTACTACCAGAAGCACTAAAAGTGTCTACAGTGCAACACGATCCACGATGCTTACCATACCAGGGTGAGGGTGAGGGTGAGAGTGAGATGCGAAGGCTAAGAAGCAGTAGTTTTAGTTGCCTGGCATCGGTTTCATCAAGGCAGAGACACTTGTCAACATCTTCTTTGCTTTTGCAGTCGCCTTTGAAAGGGTGCTTGCCACCTTGGGAATTGAGACGTTCTAGCAACAACTCGTGTGCACAATGATAATTAGATTCGGTTTTTTTCTTCTAAAAAAAAGGCGGTTTGATCGTTAATTAGTTGTGTATTTGTAATCAAACTACCTATATAAGTTTTAGGAGAACCAATGTGTTTATTGATTGCACTAGTAGAGAACCAATGTGCTTATATGATCTGAGGCTCCCAATCTAATCTTAATACATATCAAACCAAGGATAATAAATATCAATCTCTACAGATAACATAATACAATACAACTAACGTTTTACTTAAGAGAGATACGTATTCCAAAGAATTTGTCCGAAAGTTTCACTAATTTTGTTTTAAATAATAAAAAAGTATGTACGAGTCTGAATCTACCGTTGAAAAAACAAACCTGCATCAACACAAAAGAGATGGTTCAGATTAATTGAGGTAAGAGTGTATATGTAGCTTTTCCATCAACACGACGATCTGATGAGATTTGGGTAGTGTTGTATAATAAGTAATATATAGTTTAAATAATGGTGAAACAACACACACTTTATTGATAGATTTAGATTTTCTTAAGATTGATAACGTACATTACACGCGGGAAACATGTAATATTTAGTGATTGTTGTGTTTTTTCAAACTGTACAACTTAAACAAAGCGAACTAAGTTATGGTGGGTTTTTGGAAGGGAGGGGAGGGGAATCAATCGTCTTTCTCATGCAAAACAGTTAGCCTACCATTGAGAGCTGCATGATATACACGTTTCTCTGCCAAACCAATATCTGACATTATTAAGTTACCCTGCACAACCAACATAATAATAATAATAATAGCAATTATTATTGTCATTATAAATTATAAAATGAAAATGAAAGCATATGTGTATATTATAATACCTCACGAGCCATCAATCTGCGAACATTTTCGGCATATAATTTAGGATTGTCCTTCTCTTGTTGTGAGGGGTAATAAACTGGCAACCGTGTCACCGACATTTTATTTACAAATTGACATAACAGCAAAATCACATGCCGCACCTGAAAATTCGACAAATAAATTGGAATTCAATTCCATTCCAATCCCGGGTTTTGGGATTCACAAACTCCCTTCATCAAATACATTTCAACATTCTATGAATTCACTCATTGTTAAAAAAAGGTATAACGGAATTAAATTCCTTCCACCCTCCCCTAACATGGAATTGTTTGCGGACCAAAACGCCCTTTTAGAAGACAGATCAGCATTTAAATTTTAAACACTCACCCCAGATATGGAATCCCAGGCAGGGCTAAATCTTTCATAAGGATATTTCAAAATAACAGGAAGAACAGGAGCTTTAGCCAAAAATGCACCAGTTTTAAATGGAAGTATATAATCCCCGTTTGTAGTTGTTCCTTCTGTATAAACAAAAACAAAGATAATTAGATACAGGTGGGTGGGATCAAAAATTAATAATTCTGCAGCTAACATGTGAATAAAAAAAAAATCCTACGCTTCAGAAATACAGAAGAAATTATACACCTCAATACAAGTATTTTTAGCATTTAAAGAAGGATTTTACTTGATACAAATTTGAAAATGAGAAACAATGATTACATATAGAATATAATAACCTGGAAAAAGCATCATCATGGGTGCAGACTTATTTTCATGGGCTTCTTGAATTCTCTCGTTCACCACAGCTGCAAGTAACAAAGTTTTAAAAAAATGAAACAGAAATTACATTTAAGAAAAAATGTAGAAAAACATTTAAATATACCTGAAACGCCCTTTGTATTTGATGATTTAGACTCCCTCTGGACATATACACAACCAAGACACTTGCTGAAAAAACAAAAAATTGTAATTATAAAGCAATGGATAACAAATGTATAAACCATACAAGAAGCTAGAAAACAACAACTTCATTCCCATAAAAATTTATGGATAAATGTTCTTAATAGAAATTAGATACCCAACTCTTTCCTTGCTTTATCATTTTTTTTAAATAAGGAGAATAGCAAACGAAAAATCAGCATTGAAGGGATGTTTTTTTTAACAGATAACAAATGAAAATATGGATGGGATTCAAACCAACCTTATAAGGCCAACCAGAGGAAGCTTGCCCACTGATCTCTTCAGCAATGATAAGAAACAAACCAAACAATTCAGTTTATATTACCACAAACTTAAATGGAAATATAACTTTTTGGATCTAAAAAATCAAAAAGTAGACAAACCTTGGCAACAAAACTTGGAAATGAGGAAGACATATGGTACAAAATATCCAAATGTGAAACATGATTTGATATGATTACTCCAGGTCGTTCATCTTCTTCCTCAGATTGCTCATTCAAATCCACCTGACCATTGAAAGGAATCAAGGTAACCAAATGCCAATTTGAACTACAAAAACAACTGTGTTTACAATATCATGTTTAAACTATAATTGTTATATACTATCAGTAAGCACACACAATTAAGAATGTTAGACATATAAAGTGCCCTTGCTAATGATGTTCCTAATTCAGGAATGAAAGATAGAAATCATGAACTCGAGGAGCCATGACAGGGACTTCTATGACACAATTTGCATATCCCCAAATTACCTTAAGAAGCGATTAACAAAGATGGTAAACTGGAAGCACATGTTTTACTGCATGCTATATATATACACCAGAAATTAAGCTACCTCATTGTTGATGCTTCCATTGATTTTTGGATTCCTGCAAGTCTCCTGAATCCAATAAAATCCGAACGCGAAAAGCATAATCCTAGAAAGAACCCTTCCAGACCAATAGAGAACAGTTCTCCTCCACCCACCCATGTGAGCGTAATCCTCCTGTTCGTCTTCCCGATTTGGTGCCATAAACAGAGTACAAACCCTACAGATCAAGTAATACAGCACAACCACCGTCGTCGCCAACACCACCCGCAGAGGGAGGAGCGTAACGAGCGCAATTCCTAACAAAACCTTCTCCGGCCAGGGTAGCTCTCCACAGCCCATGGTGCCATACACATCGTGTCGGACATAAGCGGCGTATTTCTTCTCGAGCTCTTCGATGCTGGGGCGGGGTGTGGAGGAGTCAGATTTGTCGTCATCGGTGGTGGTGGTGGTGGTGGTGGCGGTGGTGGGGCTGAGGAGGGGGAGATCGTCATTATCAGAAGCGTCTTTGAGATTGGGTTGAGAAGTGGGAGATTGGGGTTTTGAAGATAAGTCTTTGAGCTGTGAATCCATTTAAGATGCGAAGGCTGATCTTGCTGGATTTGATGTTGATGGTTTGTATTTCATAGAAATGCGGAAGAGTGACAGTAGACGTGAAGATCGATGGTGGTGCCGGATGTAGGTGGTGGAGCTGGTTTAGATATAACCCAAATACGAGAAGAGAAGTCCCCACAGCGATCAGAAGAACTGAAGAAAGAGACTCCCAATCTCAATCTCAATCTCAATTATTACTTATTAGCTTATAAATCTATTTAAGAATCCCATTCTCCAGCTTTTTATTATTTTTATTTATGGAAAAAGCGATCATTAGTCGTATTTTTTTATTTTTTATGTAGATCAGGTCATCAAAATGGATCAAGAATATATGAGTCTGTTATATTATCTACAAATATAAAATATAATTTCTAATCATGATAAATAAACATAATAATCATGATAAAACTTAATAAAGCTTTTAGATAAAGTTGTAACAAAGATATATACTTTTTAGTTATTATCAAAAAATAAATATCGATAAAAATTATGAAATTCTAAAACGAAGTAAATCATGCAATTTAAATAATAAAATGGATGATATGGAATTTTTTCAGTGCATTATATGGTGGAATGGAATTAAATAATGGATATCAGCAATACAAGAAAATTTTAAAATTATCTAATTAAAATTATTAGATAAATTGAAGACTTTTTTGTTTGAGTATATATCAGTATATATCGGATATTACCCAATAGTTGATTATATTCTTAAGTTTTGATAAAATTGAAGAAAAACTAATAATCCTATAACTTCGTCCTTAAGAACGACTTGATAACTATAAGAAAAATTCTACCGATATTATAAAATAAAACTTTTTCTTCCTTTATCACTAAAATCATATGGAAATTCTGGATGAACATAAAAACATTTTCGCCCACTTTCTTTCGTTTCCCATGTTTTCATTCCTTGAAAAGTAATTAGAGTATCCTTTTCTTTTCTTTTTTCTTCAAAATATTTGAGAATAAAATTTTCGTTCTAAGAATTCCAAGGATAATAATAACAATGGTTTTAGAATAAGATAATTAGGGTTAGTTATTTATGGCATTTAAAATTAGTTATTTGACTTACTATGGTTTGGCATGAGTAAGGTAATCATGAATGGATCTTACATTGGTTGTGTAAGGCTGATGTGGAGGGGGTACTTTACGCGTAAACACCATCCCAAAGTCTCGTAATTGTGGTATTGAGTGAGCCGGGTTACACCATCAGTATTAGTATTAGCATAGCTTTCTATGATTCATATCAGTACCTGGAATACATGACATTTAAACGAAGTACTTAAGACAAGCATTGTCTCGTGAGCTACATTTGTTTAGACACATAATTATTAGCAAAATTATTTGATAAAACTATAATTTGACATATATTTATAAACACAATGAAGACCGTGTTATGCAAGTCCTCACTCAATGCAAATCTTTTTGGGCCTTCCCGAGCCTTGGCTACTTGTTGAATCTAATGTACATAAGGGTCACCACAAAATTGGGTCGGTCAAATAAAGTGACAATGATATACACCCCTAATTGGGTTGGTCAAATAAAGTGACAAAGAGTACTGGAGTTTATTGGAGAACAATCATCCGATCAATGCCCTGCAATTGGTCTCCATGTAGACCCCTAGGTCTAGCCGGTGCTTTCTCATTAATATGCAATTCGTTCATATGATGCATGACACCATTGTTCTATTACTAACTCAATCACACATAAATGATTGATGTTATGCTCAAGCACTTTCAATAATAACATTGCATAGTAATATATTCAAACATATTATGACTGTAAAATACAGTTCTTTAATACTCTTTTAATAATTCATGTAACAAATCGTAGCTAGATAACCATTACTCATGAAAGAGTTCATTTGTTCGATACCATTTGTCTTTCAAAACCTTAAGCTTACTCATTAGAAAAAGGGTGCATTTACTTGCTAGATAGGATTTATTACCTTTTCAACAAAAAGATTTTCAAATCACTTTCAAGCTTCTCACTAAAAACTTTACTAATATACCATGTACCTAGAGAAATTTTACATGTACTCACATGGCTCGTTAGTGAAGACTAATTTCCGTTCTGACCTCTAGCCTCGTGATATCTCTTAGCTCATTCACTTGTCCAAAGCTATTTGAAAAAACACTAAGTTCCTCAAAACTTGCCTCAAAACAATTAAGAGTTTATTCATTATATATATATATATATATATATATATATATATATATATATATATATATATATATATATATATATATATAATAGTGAACATTGCTAGATCACTAACACAATTGGATAACCATTTGTTACCAACATACTAAGCTCCTTAAGACTGTTACTAAACGGCTTAATGTCATAAGCCGATAGTCCAATATTGCAAACTGAACAATCCTGTAAATTTGGGTTTAAGACCCTCATTATCCAAAGCGAGAATTCCACCATGGAAACCCTCTATCAATCTCAGTTCATAACAATATCATGTTACAAATTTCAAATATTATATCGGGTTTCAAACTTTTACGACTCGACTTACATAACTACAGTTACTTATTCACAAATCAAGAGGATACCTTAGCTTAAACGATATTCATACCCTTGCTAAACAACCTCACGACCTTTGTCTCTAAGATGTAATCGTCGCCCACCAACTTTTATCTTAACTCTTGTATACTTTTTTTTAAAACGTACCTCCGAAGGCTACAAGATGTTGCTTAAGTGCTTGGAGCACTCATCAAAAAAACATGTAGCGAATGATGCTTGAAAGCTATTTATAGGATGAGAATTTTAGGGATGCACCGCGCCCTAAACCACGCATTGTTTCCGAAGACGCTACGTGTCCTTCTCTGATCAATACGTGTTTTGCTGATTCGCCTTGGATGCCTTGCATCTTTAAAGATATGCTTTGCGCCCCTTTGACTTCCTGTTAACTTCTCAGATTAGAAATGTACTTTCTATCTTAACTTTGGAACCCCATAACTTCCTTATACCGACTCAGGTTTTGACAAACTTTATATCCATGAATTCGTATCGAAGTGAACTGCAACATGCTCTCAATAAGCATTTACTAAAGTTTATACATTTTCTAATATAATGCAATGCGTATAAAGACATGCATATTACATTACTAAAAACATCACCATTTGACTACTTAAGTTCACCCTTAACCGTATCTAAACCAATTACATATTGTAACACACATTATGAGGTTTTTGGTTCATTATAATGTTTTTCTTATAACAGTCAAAACACACACACACACACACATCTAAATCATTCTCTTAAACTACACTTATGTCCAGTACGAGACTTGAGCTCTCAACTCCTTAGGGGAAGAATCTGAGCGGGCTCATATATACTCCATATGTTTTGTATGTATTGTGACATGTGTATGTAACCGACCCATAGTTATTTGTATTTTGTAGATATAGTAGGTGGAAAATATGGTTGTCGAATCGTGTTGGATTCACAATCTTCTCTGTGAGCTTCACTATCTGCCTTCTAAGGAAACAATTGTTTACCATGACAACATTAGTGTTGTATATATGCTGCCTAACTCGATGCTAACACCAATGCACTAAACACATAGAGATCAAGATACAATTTATCTTGGATTAGGTGGTAATTAGTGTCAACCGCGTTCTTTATGTTCCTTCTTCGTCACAATACATATATATTTTCATCAAGGGCTTACACATTGTTTTATGATTTTAGAACCAAATTAAACATTTGTTACCTTCCCGATCAAATTGTGGGTGTATGTTATCTGCCTCATGTATAGCAGCATTCGCTTGTATTTTATGTAAACAGTCCTTAATCATGTGTATTGTGTATATATTCTCCATATAATCATTTGTTCCGGTAATGAGAATGGTACCCATTTACAAGGAAGATTTTTGTAATTTGTACTGTTACGTCAACGACGCTTAGGTAAAAAATAATATATGAATTTGCTTGAATTGCTTTGACTTATAACAATCACATTGATGATATTGCATGTTTGACTATTTATAATTAAAGATGTGTTCTTATTGCTTTGACGTTTAATTATTATTTTAATTTTATAATGTTTAGTTTTTTGTGTTTGGATTAGTACCTTTGATTCTGAGTATGTAAGCTACGGATAAATCATGAAATGATAATCACTTCTTGATAATAACTAGGGTCAACAGTAACAAAATTGATCATCAAGCATAATATAAAATTACTATCGTACCCACTCTTAACTATAAGTTAAATAAAGACTTCTTTAGAAACTGATTTCAATTATTCATAGAAATAGTTGTTGGAATTATATATGGAGACTTTTAAATCTATCTCTTCTAATGAATAAAATCTAATTATACCAATTTTCTTTATTCTACCATGTTGTTTTGCCACGTGATACATTTCTAAGCTATATCCATAATTGTTCGGGTACATTTACATGAATCCATATTTTTTGGTAACAAATCAAATGCTTTTCAAATTTTGAAAAAAATAAAAATAATTATATCCTAATTTATTTCCGTTATCTTTGTTATCTTTGTTATCTATCAATTCAAAAATGCAATTAAGTATGTCATGTTTTTAATTCATGATTACTTACAATTGAGAATCCAATAGTTATTATTTTGTTTATATATAAAAATATTAATTATACCGACCGTGGTTTTTATGGGTTATAACATGATATCTATATAAACCATATTCTAAAGTTATTAATATGATTGGTGAAAAATAAAATTTTATAATTAATTTTATTTTAAATTCTACAACAATATAACAATGTTTGTCGCATCTGTTAATAATTTAAATAACCATAAATTCTCAAACACTTAAATTGTTGATTTTTATGTTGAGTACTAATTCTAATAATGTTGTCACCACTATCACATTGTTGTTGTTGTCAATGGAGACAATGAGTCAATAATTAGTAGAGGAGGTAATTTCAATATTAATGTAGTTTAGGTGGGGGAGAGATGACATGGTGTTTTCATTGTTATTTGTAT